AAGAAGAAGAAGAAGAAGAAGAAGAAGAAGAAGAAGAAGAAGAAGAAGAAGAAGAAGAAGAAGAAGAAGAAGAAGAAGAAGAGATGTAAATGGATGTAAAACTGTCTATAATGACTCTCAGCTCTGACAGACTGCAATCAGAGCAAACATTCAGAACTCCTGTCACCTCCTCCTCGTCTCCTCTGTGGCCCACGGGCTGCTCAGACTGAGGAACGTGCTGAACATCATCTTTCCCATCAATCCCCTTCTCTCCCCTGCTCACCTAAATAATATTAAAACAYCCCCAGCACTGAGACAGAGAGCAAAAGAAAGAACGATGTGATTCTGGCTGCAGGCGAGACATCAGAAACTCAGCACTCATTTTCAGTTTGGCAGTAATCTCTGCGTTTCTACCTGTAATCTGTGCAGAGAGACCGGGGCAGGAAAGGGAAGGTCTCTGTTGTTTCTGCAGGGCAGCCTTCGATCGGTGGCTTTATAAGAACAGACAGAGCGWGTGTGAGTGGGCGTGTTTGTGGACTTTATAAAGCTGATGGCACTCGGAGCCACGGCTCTGATTGAAGACAGTTCCTCCTTCGTTGTGTCCGTCTTTGCTTCCTAATTCTCCTTCAGGGTCCTGAGTTCATTTCTCTGAACAAACACAGGAGGAACGGAGGAAAAGAAGAGAGGAGAAGCAGAGCGAGAGGGGAGTCGGGGGTTGTTAACCTTTATAAAGATGCCACTTTGTTGATTTCTCTGTGTTTTATCTTACACTCAACTAATTAAATCCATCAAACACAGCCTGGGGCTCTTCTCAGTCTGCTAATGAAAGCATCTGTTTCTGCCTGATCTCTGCTGCTTTGGCCTCACATGAGTTCCTCTTTTCATTCCACTCCTCCATCACATCACCATCTAACTGCTCCTGATAGATTTCAGTCAGGACGCAGGTCAGCGCTGCTCTTCTCATCTTCAGCGTGGCTGCAGAGGACTGTTTAGGTTTGTGGAAGGACCGACATGCTCTCTTATCTTCTCCCTCCATCATCAGAGCTTTGCTTTCAGATTTTACTGGAGTTTCAACGTGTTGCTTCAGATTTACAAGTTGTGAAATTGTTTGGAATGATCTTTCAATGAACTTTCATATATTTTAGATTCATTGCACAACAACTGAAGTAGTTCAAGTCTTTTATTGTTTTAATATTGATGATTTTGGCAAAAAAGTAAAGAAAAATCAAAAATCCCTATCTCAAAAAATGAGCATATCATGAAAAGTTTCTCTAAATGACTTATTAACCTTATTAATCATCTGAATCAACAAATTAACTCTAAACACCTGCAAAAGATTCCTGAGGCTTTTAAAAACTCCCAGCCTGGTTCATTACTCAAAACCACAATCATGGGTCAGACTGCTGACCTGACTGCTGTCCAGAAGGCCATCACTGACACCCTCAAGCAAGAGGGTAAGACACAGAAAGACATTTCTGAACCAATAGGCTGTTCCCAGAGTGCTGTATCAAGGCGATTCCAGACCTTGGGGGACCTGCAGAAGCAGTGGACTGAGTCTGGAGTACAAACTTCCAGAGCCACTGTGCACAGGCA